TCCAGCAGGGAGCAACACACACACTCCAGCAGGGAGCAACACCCACACTCCAGCAGGGAGCAACACCCACACTCCAGCAGGGAGCAACACACTCTACATACACTGCCTTTGGTCACACGGTGCCCTGATAACCCAATTTACTCCCTGCCCGTCTCCCCTTTTACCTCATCTAGTACACAGAATACCTGGAGTTGGACTCTCCGAGGGCTAAATCAGTAGCCAGGTTAATTTGGTGCAGCTGTCCCTGTCGAGACTGAAGTGGTGGGGCCATGAATCCGATTCAACTGGGAATTCCGAAACGGCTGGAATTCTTGCATCTGGCGAGCTGTAAGGTCCTCCTTGATCAATGCTGAACATTGGATGACGCCCCTGGCTGAGTCTGGCGGTGATTGCTGTCGTAGCATAAGTCGCTACACCACTAAGGTCGGCAAGGTGGGCCGGTAATGTTCGATCACAGAGATTCTACACGAGGGAGACAGCCCGTGGTCCTCTTACCTGGGAGACAGTTGAGTTCATCCGTGGCATCCTTACAGTGGGGAACACCATCACACACACGGCCAGGCCGGATACACTGTCCGTTGTCGCACTCAAACTCTGCCTTCCAGCACTCGCGGTGATCTGGTGGTCGAAGGTACAGAGGCTGTGATTAGCGGTCTTGAAGAGGAGGGGGAGGAAGAGGACTAAGGAGAGGAAGGAGGCGGAGAAGGATACGGGTAGTAGTTGCAGAAGTAGTAGTGGTTCCAACAGCCCCAGCAAAGTGCTGGAGAAAGTCAGCAGGGTGATAATAATGGAGTGCCTAGAGAAAATAAAGTTTGTAACTTTAGCGTAGCATGGATTAAAAAGGTGGAAAGTCATGTGTGATATTATATTGAGTCCTGCGACAAAGGAAGAAGGCTGGGTAGAATATCTTTCCAGATTACCAACATGTATTGGGAAAACAGTGAAGAAGTAAGAATGTCCAAATCCACAAGGGAAATTATGAGGGATCGAACCTACGCAATGGATGTTCCCAGGCGCTCCAAAGAGATTTCTGTGTGTGGCGTAAGTAAGAATATACCTAATGGGCAGAAAATAAAGGAACACGGTCAGAACATTGGTGTCGAGCTGTAGGACTGTCACAAGCAGAGGTCCCCTCAAGGCTCGGCAGTAGGACCACTGCTGTTCCTAATTTATGTGAACTACCTATCCGAAAACGAGAACTTATAAATGTCAATGTTTGCACAAGATGTGCAACAAACGAGGAATGTAGAAAGCAAGGAGGACTGCCGAGCCCTTGACAAACTCCACAAGTGGTGAAACAAATGACTGTCAAGAGTACAACCCCAACAGTTGTAAGGTAATACAGATGGTAAATAGAGAAAATACCAAAACCATCAACATCATAAAAGGAAGGCAACTATAATAATCAGAAAGATAAAAAAGACTCGATAATAGATATAATTCCAGCACTAATACCTAAGGCATATGTAAACAGATAATATCGGACGTATTGGGGAAGCTAACAAACATTTAAACATTTAGGCTGTAATTATAAAAACAAAATAAGTACTTAAGACAATATATATTGCCTATGCAAGACCAATACCCATAATATGCAACAGCGGCCTAGAATCGGCCTTCAATGAAACACATAACAACAATTTAAGAAATATAAGAAGTTTCCAACAAGATGAGAGCCGGAACTAACAGGATCGAGCTACAAGAACAGGTTCAGGGAACTAAATCTCGTAACATAGGAGCAAAAAAGGAATAGAGGGGGACATATGCACAATATACATGATGCTGAGAGGATAAGACAAAGTGAACAAGTTCCTCCGTGACCTTACCTCACCTTCCCCTCCATAACCTCACCCCATCTTCACCTTCTTGACCTCATTCTCATCTTTACTTCCCTGAGTTCAAGCTCATCTTAACCTCCCTGACGTCATCCCTCACTCCTAGCTCTCCGTATCTGTTAGATTAGGTTAAGCAATTAGAAGGGAAACGATATTTACAAATAAAGTGTTCACTAAAGTTGATGTTAGAGATTACATTTTCTTAAATCGGAGTAAAACAATGAAGTTCTGAAACACACACACACACACACACACACACACACACACACACACACACACACACACACACACACACACACACACACACACACACACACACACAGATACAATAAGAATTCCAGAGAACAACATAGAACACAGAGGTGTCTAGAGACGAAGTGGAAAAAATGCTCAAGGAGCTCGGTAAGAACAAAGCAGCTGGCCCAGATGGCGTTTCACCATGGGTTCTGAGAGAATGTGCATCTGAGCTCAGCATTCCACTTCACCTGATCTTTCAGGCATCCCTGTGTACAGGAATCGTAGCAGACGGGTGGAAACAGGCTAACATAGTTCCAATCTACAAAAGTGGCAGCAGGGAAGACCCCCTCAATTATAGACCTGTATCATTGACAAGTGTAATAGTGAAAGTATTGGAAAAACTAATCAAAACTAAATGGGTAGAACACCTAGAGAGAAATGATATATCAGACAGACAGTATGGTTTTCGATCTGGAAGATCCTGTGTATCGAATTTACTCAGTTTCTATGATCGAGCCACAGAGATATTACAGGAAAGAGATGGTTGGGTTGACTGCATCTATCTGGACCTAAAAAAGGCTTTCGACATAGTTCCACATAAGAGGTTGTTCTGGAAACTGGAAAATATTGGAGGGGTGACAGGTAAGCTTCTATCATGGATGAAAAATTTTCTGACTGATAGAAAAATGAGGGCAGTAATCAGAGGCAATGTATCAGAATGGAGAAATGTCACAAGTGGAGTACCACAGGGTTCAGTTCTTGCACCAGTGATGTTTATTGTGTACATAAATGATCTACCAGTTGGTATACAGAATTATATGAACATGTTTGCTGATGATGCTAAGATAATAGGAAGGATAAGAAATTTAGATGACTGTCATGCCCTTCAAGAAGACCTGGACAAAATAAGTATATGGAGCACCACTTGGCAAATGGAATTTAATGTTAATAAATGTCATGTTATGGAATGTGGAATAGGAGAACATAGACCCCACACAACCTATATATTATGTGAGAAATCTTTAAAGAATTCTGATAAAGAAAGAGATCTAGGAGTGGTTCTAGATAGAAAACTATCACCTGAGGACCACATAAAGAATATTGTGCAAGGAGCCTATGCTATGCTTTCTAACTTCAGAATTGCATTTAAATACATGGATGGCGATATACTAAAGAAATTGTTCATGACTTTTGTTAGGCCAAAGCTAGAATATGCAGCTGTTGTGTGGTGCCCATATCTTAAGAAGCACATCAACAAAGTGGAAAAGGTGCAAAGACATGCTACTAAGTGGCTCCCAGAACTGAAGGGCAAGAGCTACGAGGAGAGGTTAGAAGCATTAAATATGCCAAAACTAGAAGACAGAAGAAAAAGAGGTGATATGATCACTACATACAAAATAGTAACAGGAATTGATAAAATCGACAGGGAAGACTTCCTGAGACCTGGAATTTCAAGAACAAGAGGTCATAGATTTAAACTAGCTAAACACAGATGCCGAAGAAATATAAGAAAAATCACCTTCGCAAATAGAGTGGTAGACGGTTGGAACAAGTTAAGTGAGAAGGTGGTGGAGGCCAAGACCGTCAGTAGTTTCAAAGCGTTATATGACAAAGAGTGCTGGGAAGACGGGACACCACGAGCGTAGCTCTCATCCTGTAACTACACTTAGGTAATTACACACACACACACACACACAAGCTTCCAGCATGGTACAGATACCAATGTTGGCTCCAAAACCAACACAGTAGAGAACATGTATTTGGATTCCAGAACACGTGGCCAGAGATATAGAGGGTTTAGCTGGGGCAGGTCCAGCGACTACAGAGGCCACAGGTCGCCAGGAAATATCACCTTTCCTGGAACCAATTCCAGCAGGACAGACCATGTGTTTCAATGTACCTTCCACCGAGGCCATAATGCGTTTCGCTCATTAGTTCCTGGAAGAAGTATTTCTTTTTCTAATGGAGTCAGAGTAACTAGAAGTGCTGCCTGGACAGTGTAACTTCAAGAGAACGGGAGTGTCAGTGTATTATGACAGTATGACACCAGGTGGATGGCAGAGTATGTGAAATATGTCAGTATGTCTCCCAGTGAATGGGAGAGCAAATGAACCGACAATTCTCGCAATCAAGGGTTTACGGAATGTCAATATGTTCTGTAAAGGACAATACCGTACAAGTTTAGACAATACATTAAAGACTCGCAGTCGCCAGAATTACGTACTAGCGAAATTAGCTGGAATCCTATTTCCTCCCCCTCCTCCTCCTCAACTCCTCAATTCTCCCTCTTCTACTTCGTGGAGCAGTCTCCAGTGCACCTCTCTCTACACCAATTCTAACATTCCTCATTCGTGATACCCACCCCAACCTCCACCCACGATATCCTCCTTCTCCACCCTCCACCTTCCACAGTACCAGATCCTACATACCATTCTACATCCACACTACCCTTTCCCCCCCCCCCATCCTCCACCTACGATTCCTCCACTCATGATACTACTCACACCCTTCACCAACGATACCAACCGTCATCCTCCACCCACTCACTGCAACTCACTACACCCTACATTCATCCAACTCTCGCATTTCGTTCTCGTTGACTACTTCCATCTGCACCATTCTTCCTCATCTACCTATCTCCCTCTCCCTCCCTCCCTCTCACTTTCTCTCACCCCCCCTACTCACTCACCGAACTCCCTCTTCTCTTAAAGACTCTCCGAGGAATCTTTAATGGCTCCTGAAGACATAATTAAGACAAGTGCAGTAAGTAGGGTGATGGTGCAGCTAATTAGTCCCAGGCAGCTGGGAGAGACCCACAACAGGCCTCTGGGTCAAGACATATGCGTTGTTTTATCACCAGCCTATAAGCTCATATTCAGCTAACGCATCAGAAAGTGATTTTATCATAACGAAGATGACGGGTGAAGGTGAAACAATGAATTTGACGCGTGAAAGGTGACGAACCAGAGGTGACGGTCGACACACCTGACAACATGGTCGACAAAACTACCACACACCTGGCATTACGGTCGACACAACTACAACACACCTGGCAATAACGAAGTCGAAGGCGGAGTTGAACGAGCAAAGCTAATTCCAGAATGACGTAATTTACACACATGTAATTTCCGAGATCTCAGTTAATGGCGAGGTTGCCTGGCGCTCCAGTCGGGTGTTAGCTTTGACCTCAGCTCCGCGGAGAGAGAGAGAGAGAGAGAGAGAGAGAGAGAGAGAGAGAGAGAGAGAGAGAGAGAGAGAGAGAGAGAGAGAGAGAGAGAGAGAGAGAGAGAGAGAGAGAGAGAGAGAGAGAGAGAGAGAGGTGAGTGAGTGAGTGAGTGAGTGAGTGAGTGAGTGAGTGAGTGAGTGAGTGAGTGAGTGAGTGAGTGAGTGAGTGAGTGAGTGAGTGAGTGAGAGTGAGAGTGAGAGTGAGAGTAAGAGTAAGAGTAAGAGTGAGAGTGAGAGAGAGTGTGTGAGAGTGAGTGTGTGGTGTGAGTGTGAGTGTGTGTGAGTGTGAGTGTGAGTGTGAGTGTGAGTGTGTGAGTGTGAGTGTGAGTGTGAGTAAGAGTAAGAGTAAGAGTAAGAATAAGAGTAAGAGTAAGAGTGAGAGTAAGAGTGAGAGTAAGAGTGAGAGTGAGAGAGAGTGTGTGAGAGTGAGTGTGTGGTGTGAGTGTGAGTGTGTGTGAGTGTGAGTGTGAGTGTGAGTGTGAGTGTGTGTGTGTGTGTGTGTAAGTGTGCGCGCGCACAATATTCACAGAGTTGTTAATGTAATACAAACAATTACCCGTTCCCAAGGTGAGTACTACGAGGCCAGGGGTAGGAGCCCCCCACACTAATGTTATACAGCTATACATACATATTAATGAGGTGGACGGCTTCAGGAGGTATCTGTCTATATGACGTGATGCACCAAGTTGCTCCTGTTATCAAGTATCTTAATGAAATTGTACAAACCCGACACTAATTTCCAACATTGATCATTGACAACGGTTGTATGGTTGTGGTTGCTAGTGTTGTTGTTTAATTAATCATCATGCAGTTATAGACCAAATTGTAAAAAAACAATTTATTTAGGTTACAGAGCTTGTTTGAAAATTTTAGCATTTAAATCTGGCTGGCAATGTCCGTAGACATTCAGCGGTGATCAAATATTGTATATGGTAAACATTTTTTTGTTTACTGTGTAATATTTGACTTCTGGCATATCATTCCTCTTGTTTTCTTTCTATTTTTTAATAGTTGACGACATGAGAAGCATAATATATATTTTTCAATGGTTATATTGGTTAGACTACTGTTAGCATTTAATTACAATAGAACCAGCACGTTTTAGCATTTCTGCTATTGTTACTTGCAACAGGACCAGTGGGAAGTAATATCACTGCTAGTATGTACTTGCGCCAGTACCAGTGGATACTAACATCTCCGCTAGTGTGTACTTGCGCCAGTACCATTAGATACTAACATCTCCGCTAGTATGTACTTGCGCCAGTACCAGTGGATACTAACATCTCCGCTAGTGTGTACTTGCGCCAGTACCAGTGGATACTAACATCTCCGCTAGTGTGTACTTGCGCCAGTACCAGTGGATACTAACATCTCCGCTAGTGTGTACTTGCGCCAGTACCAGTGGATACTAACATCTCCGCTAGCCTGCACTTACGACATTCCAGCTCGTCGGATCCGTCGCCACAATGGTCGTGGAAGTCGCAGACGTGTTCGCTAGGGACGCAGTAGTGGTTGTTGCATTTGAAGTGACTGACGGGGCAGGCAAACGTCTCTGGCGGAACATACAACATATTATATAAATGGCCTATTAATAATCTCAGCATATAGCAATAGTCTCCACATTTTACGGCCTGTTTGTACAATAAAATAAAGATAATCGTGTTTTAAAAACTATATTATTGAAGAGAGAGAGAGAGAGAGAGAGAGAGAGAGAGAGAGAGAGAGAGAGAGAGAGAGAGAGAGAGAGAGAGAGACAGACAGACAGAGAGAACGAGAGACAGAATGAGAGATGGAAAGAGACAGCAACAAACACAGAGAAATTAAAGAATACAATCAGAATACTCATTAATTCGGTATAAATTAATATATTGGGCCTAACGAGCTTACACCATCAATCAAAAATGTTAAATAGTGCACCCAATGAAAATACTGAAAATTTATACTATAAACGTTATATGCATAAATATGCAATAAAGTGAAAAAATATAACATAAATTGAAAAATAATATTAAAAACCTAATCACGGCAACTATATTTTTCCTGTACAAATAGTAATCTATTTCCCTTTAACCCTAATCACTGGTTTGTCCAAATTAGCATATACAAATTGCAAAAACATGGAACATAACACATATTTATACAGTATATTACATTATTATATTAAATATATAATATATATATATATATATATATATATATATATATATATATATATATATATATATATATATATATACATTGGTAGGAGTCTTTCTAGTAGGTATATGTTACTGAACATGACAGAAAGGCGAGATTAATAATTCTAGCACGAATCTTCTATTTTTCTTAGGTTTTTCCAATGCCCCAGAAGTTCCACCTCCACCTAGTTACCCGGCCACTTACCGCACCGTTAACCAGTGCTCCAGGCTGGTCACGAACCTGGCCTATGACCCCGCAGTGGTGACCGGGAGAGGGGGAAACCATGTTAGCCAGGACTCACCACAGCTGGTCTCGTCGGCGGCGTCCGCGCAGTCCTGGCGGGTGTCACAGCGACGCATCTGGTCTATACACGTCTCCCCACACTGGTACTCGTTGGGCAGGCAGCCTAACACGTCAAAAAGTCTGTATTAATCATCATTCATAATTACTGGTTGGGGGGGCCATAGTAACTTGTAATAGCTTAATTTTAGGGCATGTAAGAATAACATTCAGATCATTCAACGGTAAATATTGGTAAAAATGTGTCTTGCAATAGGTAACATAGTATTAGTACGGTCAAAATTGATCAAATATATCCGGGAGAATGAGAATTTACACGAATGTTACAGAAGTTTAGAGAGTATGGGAGAACCATAAATGATGTCATATGAAATGCATTAACACACACACACACAATGATGTCATATGAAATGATGTCATATGAAGGTGAAAATTGTCATCTACCGATTAGCAAGTGCCTGTGGAGGTAGAGATCGAGTATCAGGTAAGACCCCCAACTCTTCAGGAAGCATTTGAGCAGCATATATCTCCATATGACTTCAGTCTGTGCTGTGTAAACTGATCACCTCATATAATTTGAAACTGTAGGCAACTGTCTTACACTACAAGAGTGGATGTAGACATCAGGACGGAGAACCTTCAGAAGAATTCATTATGTTCGGCTGATTTCATCAAATAAACAAAGCATCGCTTCGTTCCAATTGCTTGTATTAAATATCCAAACATACCCTTGGAGAACAGGAATTTGTTAATCCGTCAAGTTGGCTAGAGAACAGCAACTTTCTCGTTTAAGGGCATTAGCGCCTATTATGTTCTTAGGTGTTCGTAGAGCATCTATAATTGTAGACTTGATAGTATTATTGTAGATTTGATAGTATTATTCATACAAATAAGAGTGTTTATTCACACACACACACACACACACATCGTAAATGATTAGTTGGCAAGAACAGCTTCCCATAATCCTGGAAAACAAGGACGTTCATTTTAACGGTACAAGACCGTAAGTGGAAAAATATACGACCACAAACACTGAATAACACACACACTCAGTCGCACGCAAGACTAGGACACACCAACATACACTAGCACAAACAGCAAGCTCCACACATTCAGAAACAAGCACGACACCAACACACGGACTCTAGAGCAACAACACACACACACACACACAGGAGGAGGAGCTCTAAAGGAGTTTAGAGCCCAATAGGCTCAGGAATCTGTACACCTGTTGATTGACGGTTGAGAGGCGGGACCAAAGAGCCAGAGCTCAACCCCCGCAAGCACAACTAGGTGAGTACAACTAGGTGAGTACACACACAAACACAAACAGACACTAGGACGCTCAACGATAGCGCTAAGTCTTCCTTCAGTGACTCGAAATGAGGCAAAAACCATCCTTCCTCTACCCCAGCCAATTGTATTATGGCCGTCGGCCTCGGTGCCTCTATTGGAAAGCAATTTACCGGTGGAACCAATAATCGACGTCGCTGCAAAGTATACATCAGTTTCATCTTGAAAAATGTAGAAGGAAACAAAATGTAAACTCAAGAGGAGCAGAAAGATGAAGAAGAAAATGTATTTTCTGTCTCTTGACTTTGTCTTTACATATTAATACAAACAGCGTAATTGGGCATAGGAAGAGAACGTTGGCCGCAAAGAATCATAACACCAAAGTTCAATAACATAAAAGTTCAATACGTGAAGCTACGAGACGTGAGATAAGCTCGTCTCGTAGCTACAAAAAATTTATATTTTCCTTTCCTATACTGTATATATATATATATATATATATATATATATATATATATATATATATATATATATATATATATATATATATATATATATATATATATAAAGGGAATCGCAGAAAACCATCAAATACTAAGGTCTGACACACTGCTACACCTTTGTTCTGATAGGTTCGGAGACCCTTCTCGGTGCGTGGGGAAAATGTGCATTGAAGTTCCTGAAGGAATTGAGGGGGACAAGTTGATCGGCTTACAAAAGACCAGAGCGCGAAAAGTTTCTTGTTCCAGCACCTCTGTGTCGCGATTCAGAGGGAAAATGCCTGTTGCATCTTGGGCACGAGTCCAACTTCGGAGGAGTTCAAAGAAGTGTTTGACTTGCAACAGTGATCGAATCTATCCGTGACATTTATCAATGTTTCCCATTGGCGTGTTTTTCATTTTACTTGTATTCGTTGTGTGTGTTAAGGCAATATTTTGTAATCATGTAATCTTGTACAATAAATATTCCTATATATAAATAATATATATATATACTCATTTTGTGTGAGTGTGAGTGTGTGTGTGTGTGTGTGTGTGTGTGTGTGTGTGTGTGTGTGTGTGTGTGTGTGTGTGTGTGTGTGTGGTGTGTGTGTGTGTAATAAATCACGAGTTACTGTCAAAACATAAAAAAAAGTACAAAATCCCACCACTGATACAGGGTTCCATTTAATGCTGTAATCGGATTCCCAAATACATTTATCGCGGACGTAACATATCCAACCTCTACGCTCAGTTTGCACCTGGCAACCTTAACCAAGTGTCGATTTCATTTCAGCAATTCAACCGTAGATATAATATAAAAAGGAAAAATTATATTTTGAAGTATCAGTATTTTCAGTTCAATACATAGGGTATTATATAACAGTATGCTGATATAAACATTAGCAAGTTAAAATGCAGTTTCACAGTAATAGCTTTAATTATACTTTACATATTTTAATAGTTCTAATAAATTTCAGGAATTATATTATTGGCTTGTATGGAAGTTTGCATTGTGGATTTTCATTCTAGTTCTTGCTCCACTTTTTTTTGTCTCCTAGTCCTATTCATCATGATGAATATCATTCCCAACGGACAAAACAAGATGTACTATAAATCATAGCGGCTCACAAACATTCACGTTTTATATCCGTGGGTAGCTTGAGTAGATTATAGGTTCAGGTGTTTTAGTACACCGTTTTGATGTCCGTAGTGGAAACTCGAGAGAACAGGATGAGTCCACCATCGGACCAATCACAGCCCATTCTCTTGACTTACCACTCCGTAAAAAAGGCAACTATTTTGCCTAACCACAAACGTACGTGCCAAAGAAACTCGCATGAACTATTGAGGCCGCGAATATAACACATCAATATTGTGGTGCTTTAATTTTAACAAATAAGATCCATTTTTAATGATTTGGTCGATTCTGTGACAAAAAAGTGATATATTAGGAGATTAATGGTATGGGTATGCTATAATATTCATATACCATGCCCATATAACACAAAACTTACCCAGAGCAACTGGGTATGTTTTCAGGCGATCGAGGGAGGTATCTCCGGTCCTTATAGACATTGCATATCTCACAATGCTATATTAAGGATTGCTTTATTATTTAATAAAGAATTTTAGCCTTTATACAGCGCTTATGTTTGACTTTACACCCTGTTTACTCAAAAACACAAGTTTTATATATATATATATATATATATATATATATATATATATATATATATGTGTGTGTGTGTGTGTGGTGTGTGTGTGGTGTGTGTGTGTGTGTGTGTGTGTGTGTGTGTGTGTGTGTGTGTGTGTGGTGTGTGTGTGTGTGTGTGTGAGCGCTTGTGTCTCCCAAGACCTTTAGGTGCGACCTCAAACGTCTAGGTTAAATAATCGTCGTTGTCAATGTCTCTTTCAAGTCTAAATCGAACTCCTTTGACCGAGTGAAATGCATTTAGGTAACAATGCCAAAGTATAGCTCCATTAATCATATTAATGTCTGGTAACGTGCTCGGCGAGCCGGTTTAACGAGCCAACTAGAAGACTGAGAATTTAAAGAGAAAAGTTTACACGAGTTGACCCTATCCGCTCTGTCATGGAGAGTTTACCCATAAACATGTCCAAGTTACTTTAGAAGCGAAAATTGATAAACATTCAAGTGTTTCCGAAACACAATCACTTGAGACGTCTTTGCCGAAATGCTATTGTAACACAATCACTTGAGACGTCTTTGCCGAAATGCTATTGTAACACAATCACTTGAGACGTCTTTGCCGAAATGCTATTGTCCAGCATGTCAGACACATCATACTCTAACTACCTAATTGCGCTAGCTGGTATTGAGCTTCACTTGTTTGGTCCTGCCTCTTACCCTTTCACTACGAAAGCTGAGGGGCGCTCTACATATCTCGTTAGGGCTCGTGATGTCTTTCTTAGAGCGATGCTTTGAACCATGAGGATGCCTCCTCAATGCCTCAAGGCATTAATGCGTAGCACACTTAAGGACGATGTTTATGTATATACACTATTAGACGCTGCGACACCGGGTTATCCTCACGGCCTGGATATGGTCTCATATCCTAATCTAAAGCTAATCATGGATATCGTTGGACCTACAAGTTAACCGCCACAGTCAGGATTCATCAACCACTTAAGTGTCAACTTACGAAACCTCTACATATTTCCTGGATCATGGCCACTTAGTTTGCATACATGACTATAATCGCCATCTATTATTTCCTCCCGTGCTCAAAACGCCATATGGGTTGAGGACGACCTAGCAGCGTTATCAAGGTCAGAAACTTTGAATAAAACTAAGCCGCAACGATCGAGAAAACATATACAGATTTCAGAAGTGGACACAAATCTTAGATGAATGCTGGCCCCGTTTTCCAACGCCCTTACTGCCACAGGAAAGACCTCAAGACATAAATGAAAATGATTGAAAAAGCCT